AAACAATCGCATTTCTCTACACCAATAATAAACAAACAGAAACCCAAATAAAAAACACAATTCCATTCATAATAGCCACAAAAAAATGAAATACCTTGGCATTTTCCTAACCAGAGATGTGAAAGACCTTTACAAGGAAAACTGCAAAACACTGCTCAAAGAAATCAAAGATGACACAAACAAGTGGGAAAATATCCCATGCTCATGGATCGGAAGAATCAACATTGTGAAGATGTCCATCTTATCTTAGGCAATCTACAAATTCATTGCAATACTCATCAAATTACCAGCAACATTTTTCTCAAATCAAGAAAAAACAACACAGGAATTCATATGGAAACACAAATGTCCAAGAATAGCCAGAACAATCCTCAGCAAAAAAAAACAAAAACAAAAAAAACAAAGCAGGTGGTATCACATTACTAGACTTCAAACTTTACTATAAAGCTACAATCATCAAAACAGCTTGGTATTGGTATAGGAACATATAGATCAATGGAATAAAACTGAGATTGCAGAAGCAAAACCTCAATTCATCAACAAACTCATCTTCGACAAACTCTCCACCAGCCTTTAATTTTAACCATCAAATAGGCATGTGATGGTACTTCATTGGGGTTTTATGTTTATCTTCATGCTTACTAATAAGATAAAATGGTTTTTCAGATAGTTATTGAACATTTGGATATTCTCTTTTATAAAGGTTCTATTCACATCTCTTGTATAATTTTTTATTGTCTTTTTATTGATTTGTTTTTGTGGACTTTTATCTATTTTAAGAAAAATTTTTACAGTCAAATACTGTATAATCTGGTCAATGACAGGCAACATATACAATGGTGGTCCCATAAGATTACAATACTAATTTTCTGCTGTACCTTTTCTATATTTAGATATGTTTAAACACACAAATACCTACCATTGTGCTATAATTGCCTACAGTCTTCTGTATGGTAACATAATGTTCAGGTTTGTGCCCTAGAAGCCACACAGGTTATACAATAGACTAGGTGTTATTTGTGTAAGTAAATTTGATGACGTTTGTGCAATGGCAAAATTACCTAATGCCTTATTTCTCAGAGTGTATCCTCATTGTTAAGTGATGCATGATTGAATATGCAAAATGAGAGATTTTGCCATTTGTATGCTATAAATTTTTTCTCTTTCTGTGAATTTTTTGTTTAATCCCTATAAAATAAAACATAAATAACATCATTAAAGCAAATACATATCTTAGTGAATTTTTTGTAAGGCAAAACTTTTGTAATCATTATTTAGATCAAGAAAAATTACTTGGTCATTCAGTAGCTGCTTCATCTGTCCCTCTCTGTGCCCAATTCAAAGTCATAACTTCCCTTAATTTTATACTTATCGCTCTCTGAAATATCTTCATAGTTTTATTATTTATTTTTCCTATCTTCTCCCTAAGTAGTGATTTGTTGATGAATACACTTTCTCAATTTTGATTTAATTAATCTTTTCAACTTTAGGTAATATTTTTATGTATAGTTTAAATATTTCCTATACCAAATTAATGAAGACATCTTATACTACTTTTGAAACTTTTATTATTTTGTTTTTCAAACTTAGTCTTTGATATTAAGAAATCAATTTTTTCCTCATATTTTGTTTTTTCCCATATGGATATGCTATTTCCTAGCACCAGTTATTGAAAGTCTGTCATTTCTTCACTGCTCTGTAAGGCTATATTTGCCATAAACCAAGTGCCCGTATGTGCATGAGTCTTGGGTATATTTAGTGTTCATTTATTTACTTATTTCTAGCAAATGGCAATTTCTGTCAAAGTCAATATATAAGGCAAAACAGGTTAATTGAGCCGGGCTTGGTGGCTCAGTCTGTAATCCCATGCCTTTGGGAGGCTGAGGTGAGTGAATTGCCTGAGCCCGCGGGTTCGAGACCGGCTGGGCAGTGAGACTTCATCTCTACAATAAATCAAAAAATCAGCTGGGTGTGGTAGTGCATGCCTGTAATTCTGGCTACTTGGAAGACTAAGGCGGAAGGATCGCCGGAGCCCAGCAGGTCGAGGCTGCGGTGGCCGGGAGCAGCCACTGCACTCCAGTCTGGGCAACAGAGTGAGACTCCAACTTAAAAAAAAAAAAAACAGGTTAATTGATCTAAATTCAGATTCAGAGACTTGTGTCTAGACTTAACATAATATCCTCTGCACACACCATGAGTGAGTCAACTTTATTTGTAGACTTTTGCTTCCCTAAATTGAATAACCCATTGTCAAGAGTGGAATCAAAGTAAAAGAAGCACTCCAGTCACTGATGCAATGATCACAGGTTGAAGATAGCAGAGATTTTGTCTGCATATATACCATAGAAATTATCCCAAGGAAAGAAAGAAAGATATGATAAGTAGTAAATTTAATCAGTTAATGTCCATAATAATTTGTATCTATTACCTCATTCACTTTCACAACAGTTTCAGAAATAATAGAATTCATGCAACCCCACTGGGCCCCCTCCCACTGTGGGAGCTTTTCTGTCCATTTAATAAATTCTGCTTTAAAAAAAGAAGAAATAATAGATTTCAAACTTATTGCAATACTTTTAATATAAATTCTATATACACCAAATCCCAGTACAAATTTTATATTTGTATTTGAAGTCACAGAGTTGATTAAAAACAGAACTGAGAAAAGGATTCAGCAATTTTCCTAGACTTGAAGTATGCATTTTCATTGCTATCACTCACTATTCTGTAATATAAACTCCAAAGTGTTTCTAATTTTCTTCATAGTAATGTAAAGAACTGATGTTGTGTTCATCTGGTTTCCTCCATTACACATTGTATGCCCTGCCACAATTAACCCAAACACTTATCTTCATCAAATATTCCAATATTATGACATATTTCTTTAACAGTTGCTTTTGAATGTCTTAAGCTTAGAGAAAATGGGACACATTTCTCACATCCATAGTTACCCCAGTCACAGAATATACAGCCTCTAATGTCTTGTTTACTCATGTGAAGCAATGTTGCAAGATATCCGACATACTCAAAAATTAGTATTTGAGTCATTGGAAGGTCATGAACAAGGTGTTATTAAAAATATTTAGTAAAAAATATGGCATGAGCACTTAACAAATCTGTTTATGTATGCATGTGTGTTAAGATATACACAAATAGACATTTGGTGGTTTTTACATGGTGTGTCTCATCCGAAATGGTTTGCCTCCTGGAAGTTACAACCAGTGCTTTACAATCTTGCCTAGAAAAACTCATTAACCTTTACATTTTTTATTTCAAACTGTCTCTCAGTACAGTGGTAATATGTGTTTTCTTTTCATTTCACATTCCTCCTTTGCCCACTTCATGAATGATGCAGGACACCAGAGGTTGATCAGCAGAATCCTATGTCGGCAGGAACATTCTTCCTCTGATATTGGAAAGTAGAAGAACTGAACAACTTCCTCAACCAGCTAAATAAATATTTGTGTTGGCATCCTTGAGATTCTAGTCTCAGTTATTTGCTACCCATATCTTAGTCTTTGGAAAGAAGCAAATGGCATCATAGCCTTCTCAGAGATAACACGATAAATGTCTCATTGAATTCTGGGGGCATTGAGCTATGCTTCAAATCAACAGTAATAACTCAACATTATTTTTTCAAGGGAACTCTGTTTTCAATCACCTTTCTAAAAGCATTCTTCATGTCCTTATACCTGAGGCTGAATATCATGGGGCTGAGGAAAGGAGTAATGACAGTATAAGGGACTGCTATGAGTGTGTCATCTCCACTTGAGGCTTCTGGTTTCAAATAAACAATAGGTGCAAAACCAAAGTGAATGATGACCACTGTGAGGTGGGAGGCACAGGTGGAGAATGCCTTCTGCTTACCCTCAGCTGAAGGGATCCTGAGGACAGTAGAAAGAATAAAAATATAAGTTAAGATGATGAGCAGGAAGGTACCCAGCAAGCCTGATACTGAGATCACTATTACAATGAATTCCGTGAGGACACTCTCTATACAGGACAGCCTAACAACAGCCCGCATATGACAGAAGAAATGTTTGACAAGTTTGGGACTGCAAAAAGAGCCCCTGAATATCAGTGCCATTTCTATCAGAGAGATAAAAAAGCCTGCAGCCCAAGCAGAGGCTACAAGTTGTCCACATACAATGTTGGTCCTAAGCAGTGGATATCGTAGAGCATTACAGATGGTGAGAAAGCGTTCATACCCCATCAAAGTGAGGATGATGCAGTTTGTGTCACCAAGTCCCAAGAAGAAACACATCTGTAAGACACAACTTATGATTGAGACGCTTCTGTTCTTGGCCAGTAGATCTTCTAGCATCTTGGGTATGATAGCCAATGTGTAGCAGGTCTCAGAGAAGGAGAGTGCACTGAGGAAGAGGTATATAGGGGTGTGGAGAGACCTGTCCACCCAAGTTAGGCCCATGATGGTCAGACTACCTGCAAGAGTGAGAAGGTAGAGGCAAAAGAAGACCACAAAGAGGAATGTCTGTACATGTGGGTAAACAGAAAAGCCAATGAGAATAAATTCTTTAAGGATTATCTGGTTGACCTTCATTGTTTTGATGTCTGAAATCTGAAAGAAACAACAAATAAACATTAAAGTATCCATTGTCCATTGACATTACCATATGAAAGTTTTGCTCTGAATAAGACAAATTATCAGAGTTACAACACTCAACTGCTTTTTCATTTAGTTTAGCAAAACCATGTGTATGTAGGTGATGCATTTGTCCTACTTTTTGTTTACTAATTTTTCCCCTATTCAGCAATTAATTACTGATGACTTAATTTTGTGACAAGAAAGCTTGCCCTGGTTTATTGCTTCAAAAAATTACTGGCTGATAATATAAAAAGGGAGAACATACTCCAGTTGATGTCCAAGTGTAAGAGATTCAGATGCATTTGGTGAGTCAGATTTAAATGAGCTTCTGAACACTGAAAAAAATTACTAAGTGACTGATAGACAGAGTTAGTGTCCAACATAGCAACTTCCACATAATGCATAGTCTGTAAATGTTAACAGACTGAAGATTAATAATTGATTTCCTAGATACTTTAGGATGAAACTTGGATAATAAATTATAATTGTTGGAGAGGACCACAATCATTTTTACTTTTTAAAGAAGCCATTTAAGTCCTAAAATATTAAAGGAAAGCACATGCTCTCATCCTCCTACCATGAGAAGGAAGAAAAAAATATAGGAAGAAATCCAAACGATTTATAGTAATTAATTAGAATATTTGGATGGTCTTGATAAACCGACTCTTTATGCAAGCATAGAGGAGGTGGCAGTTGAGATTTTGTCCATTTCATTAATGCCAAGCTTAGCATCCAAAAAGATAAATGCTATTTAGTCATCGTAAGCATTTTTCAATAATTCAACATCAGATTTATTCTCAGATGCCTCTGATTTTGACAACACATTGCTTGTCCTTATATTTAACACATTCTTTCAGCCTTGTAGCATATTGAGCTACTGTTTTTCCTGTACCATATGTCAGTATATTTAATAACTAGAGTTGGTAGAGTCTACATTTTTCCAAATTCTTTAAAATGTTTATTGATTTTACTCTTCACAGCATAAATATAAAGTGGATAGGACAGCTGTGTAATGTGTAAGACAGGTATGACAGCTGTGTAATGTGTAAGACAGGTATTTACTGATTTTAAAAAGAAATAATATATCTAGGAAGTAATATATTTATATTGTTTTGACTTTAATTATGTATACTTTCCATTTCTCAATGCTTACTTTTTATCCTCAAGAGACAAGTCATATATTTCTGTATGTTTCAGAGATGGTAACAAGGAGCATTTTAAGAAGGTAATAAGTTGCAGTAAATTTTGGATGGATGGGTTAATCACCAAAAACATGCTTAATTTATAAGCATTTTCTGTTTTACTTTGTTATTCAGCACTATACAGCTTATGATTTTTGAGCATGGGGAGTAACAGACTTTCCATTCTAAGTTGATCTAGTCCAGCATAAGATTAGGCATTCTCATGGCAGAATCTAGTTGAGAGTCAAAAGAGCCAGTTGAAAAACAGTCTGAATTATAAGTGGTTCCAGAAATAATCCATAACCCCATGAGCTCTATCTTATAGGTCTCTTTGGTTCTTTTCCTGTTAGACCTGGCAAGCCCTAAACATATTCTCTTCCAATCATACATGAATCACAGGAACTATTTTTTAAAATTTCCTTCAACTTTTTCTTCATTCGTTTCCCTTTCTCTCACTGTGTCCACTCTCCTTATATGTGATAGCCATCTCCCATTGAGAAGATTAGAGCGTTTTTCTGTCCTGTTGCCTAAGAGTATATCAGCAGGGACAGTGTCTACTAAAACCTTGGGCTTTCTCCTGAGGCTTCTTACTATAAACTTGTTTGGTATCCAAATTTAGTATGAGCATCCTTGGGTTCCAAATGCACTTGCAGATTATTCTTCCAATTTCCCCCCATAATCAGATTTCTGTAGCATTTTGGATTGTTCCAAAAGGCATCCTTTCCCTCCCAGAAATACTAGGTCCCAAAAGATCCCTTCTGCTTACCCCTAAGCCACTATAGAAAATTTCTTCCATCGGTAGAGCGCTTCTCACACCAAGGCTCTTAAACATGTCTGACCCTTCATTGTAACTCTTTAAGAAATACAATTATAGAGATTCAAAAACTAAAATATTAGCTAAGTATATCAAAGGAAAAATGGAATATATTGGCAAAATAAGTTGTTTTAGTACCTGGTATCTTTAGTACAAAACCCAAGCTTTTTCTAACATACTATCTGAGAAACAATCTGATTTCCTAAAACATGTTCTAACCCTTCTAACACAGTTGAAGCGTGGAAAGTTGAGGTTGTTTTCAAAGTTGCTATTAAATTCAGAAATTTCAAATTCTTTGAAAATGCAAAGAATCGCCAACACAAATTTCAGAATAGGTCTCTTTAAAAAAAATTTAGTCACTACTTAACTGTGTACCAAATATTCACTTGGTGAATTATCAGCCCTGGAGTATAAACGTCTGAATTTCCTCTGTTTCTGGTATACTCTAAAGTGTGTGTGTGTGTGTGTGTGTGTGTGTGTGGTGTGTGTGTGGTGCATGTAGGGAGGATGCTATATGCCACCTTATTCTCAATTGCCTCTGAAGTTGTCCCTAAATCTACTTATGTCAAATTTAATTTGGGACATAGAGTCTCTGACATTTATACTGTGTGTGTGACACACACACACACACACACACACACACACACACACACACAC